TTTTTTTTTTTTTTTTTTTTTTTTTTTTTTTTTTTTTTTTTTTTTTTTTTTTTTTTTTTTGAAGAAAAGCTGATGTGTTGGAAACATGAAAAAATAAATCTAATCATTTAGCTTTTGGTATGTTTAATAATTACATAAATTGACTCCAACATATTCATAATTAAAAGTCAAACTTCTTTGTAAGACCAAACCAGCTTTTAAAAAATTATCCATTTCATTAATAAATATTTAATTTGTCGCCTTATTATTATTATTATTATTCTTATTCTCATTTGAAATTTTGGTGCGATCGAGTCAGCTCGATTAACTCGAAACTAAGGTTACAATTCATTCCAATCCAACCGTAGTTTTTTTAAAATTTAGAATATTTAGCGTTAGTGATATGTTATGACCGGTAAATGTTTGATATTTGAATTTTATGAAATTTTAATTAATAATATAACATGTATCGTGTATAACCCTGGTTTTTTTTTTTTTAATAATTAAAAAAATAACCCCAAAACCCAACTTGAAAATAAAGTGTTGGATTTAGTTAGATTGTGAACTCTATTCAGATTGCTCGAGTTATCAAGCTAACCCAAGTGATCTAAAACAAATTTCTAACTCGTCTCCCTCCATAGTTTGATGACACTACTCAATATATAAAACCCAAAAAAAATTAAACAAAAGAGAAATACATCGTATTTACCATACAAAAACACATATATCAAATAAAAATTGAACTCGAATTTTGGGTTGATTAGGTTATCTAATACGGTAACTAATGACATGAACAAAACTATAAAACTATGGGTACTTAAACTCGATTAGTAAAATAGGAATGGGAAGGTAGTAAATTAAAATCACCGCTGAAAACCCTAAAAATGGTATTGGTGGGCGGCGCGTGGGATGAGAGGAAGTGGTGGGAGGCGCGTGAGAAGAGAGGAGAGGATAAAAGGAAAAGACCCCACCGTGGGCAGTGGTGGGGAAAGGTGCATATGAAATGAAAAGTAAAAAAGTAAAATGAATGGAAAAGACAGAATTGGAATTTTGAGTACACAAATCAAAGAAATACTGAGACACCCTAACCACACATCATGTTCCCACACCTGGGAGCACCACCTACCTTTCATTTATTCACCCAATTTCCCGATAATAATAATATTCTCAACCTCTCGTTACCGTTTAATTCAATCCGCTCTTAAACTATACAAGTCGATATAAAATTCTCGTAATCATCCAAAAATTAATCCCTTAATTTTAAAACGCGTATAGGAGGTTTTCCAAACAATGTAAGATCTCACAGTTCACTCCTCTTAGGAGTTCAGTGTTCTCGCTGGCACACCGCCGATGACCCTCATACCATTTGTAACAGCTCAAGCCCACCACTTGTAGATATTGTTTGTTTTGGTCCATTACGTATTAATGTTAGCCTCACAGTTTTAAAACGTGTCTGTTATGGAGAGGTTTCTACATCTTTCCAAAGAATATTTCGTTTTTAAAAGACAATTCATTTAAAACAGCTAGCTAGCCTCGAATAACAGGTTGTATGTATAGCGAAATATTTTACGAAATTTCTCGAGATTCAATCCGAGGTCAGTGATACGAGAAACCCTAATCGAGGAACGAAAAGGGTGTTAGATAAGTTTAAAGAGAGGGTTTTAGGTGAAGGGACCAATGGTGGACAGAAGGAAATGGACTGGACCACACCATCCAACCAGGCCCATGTGACCTCTCTTCCTCTTGGGTCCCAAACCCCCTCCCTCATTTCAAACCTTACAATCATTTTCTTATGCAATTTTTTTTATTTATTTATCTATTTAAGAGATTTATATCCCGTCAATTTAAACCTAACTCAATCCATCAATAAATATATATTTCATTACCATCTTAAAAGGTGATAATTTAATTATTGACCGAGATCTCACATCGACTAGAGAGGAGAACGAAACATTTCTTAGAAATGTATGAACATACACGTTTTAAAACTTTGAAGAAAACCATAAGTAAAAACTCAAAAAAAACAATATCGGCTAGCAGGATTGAACTATTATAGTTATCTCGACAAATTTTACATTTAAAACAATGTGCATGGTTTTCACTCGAGTTATTTTTCGGCTTTTCCTAATCCTATTTTTCTCTACTAAGTTAGGAAGATTTATGTTTTTTCTTTTTTTTAGAGTATAGCATCTTTAGTTATAATTCGGTTTTACTCGGCTAGCATGTTAACAACTGGAAATATTTGATCAATCTAACTCAAACAATATGGATTATATATTTTTTTTTAATAAAATGCATGCACGTCCAAACTATTATCTAAACGGGCACCAACATACGAGAAACACTATTTTGTTCGGGTTGTACATATGTGACAAACATGTTGATTAATGTATATATGTATTTTTGTCCTAATCTAAAATTCAATAATATCTTTTGAATTTTAAAAAGATTTCTTCGATATATAATATACTTCGATTTTCTAAAATATATTATAGTTCTTATTTAAGTAGACATGTGAATCCTATCATACTAATTTTTAAATTAATTTTTTTAAAAAATAAATTAATTTTTTAAAAAATTAATTTCTATCCATGTGAATCCTACCCATTTTCGAGCTAAAAAAAATAGGTCTTTGTGTATTATAAATATAATATAATTATCTAAAAATTTTATGGATTGGGTCTATTTATGAATTTTTTAAAATTAGTTTGAAATAATCATTATTAATTTGAAATAGTATATATATATATATATATTTAAACTTTATTTAATTCAATAATTATTTATTCCTATATTCGTAATTTTTTTAAAAAAATGTAATGAAATTGAATTGCAAATTTGACGTTTTACCTATTAACAAACGAAATTTGACTTGAACGACCTGAATCAACCAAACCCAAATATTTTATGGTTATTTTGAGTTGGGTTGAAAAAAAATTCGGTCGAAAACAATTAAGATAGGTCTAAAAACATGTCTCAATAACCGAACTCATGAACATCTCTAATAAAATGTAATCTCTTTCGATGCTAGCTAATTTAGCCTCTCTCTTTACCACGTTTTAAAACATTATGCGTCACGTGTGTTATTTGAAAAGAGTCGGTTTGGACTAAATTGAAAATTTTAAAATATTATGGACTAAGTTGAAAACGAGAAAGGGAGATATTTATAGAATAAAGCAAGTGGCGCGTGAGAGTAAGGGTGAGAGTGGGGAAAGGAATGAAAAGGAAGAGAAAAGGAATCTATTTACAAAGCCATTATGTCATCATCAATAAGTGAGACCAAAAGGGTCTTTGGAATCAATTGGTCCACACAAACGGCCATTCTAATGTTAAACGTGATCTTCTATTTCTCATATTCCATATAAATTTCAATTAAAAAAAAAATTAGGACGATAAACTTTACGCGTTATGTTCGGTTTAATTCGGTTCTGTTCAAAACTTTACGTTCTATGTTCGATTTATAACTAATTATAAAATTAGATCATATTTGAATGAGAGCGATTTTGGTTATATAATCTCTAAAAAAGATTTAAAGGGAGTGAAAGTTATTATATATGCCAACAAAATGTATCTTTTTTCGGCAGCTCGATCATATAAATTTTATGGTTAGACGTGCTTTACTTAGAACAATTATAGATTGGGTGACCTCCTATAAATTTTCATATGGTATAAGAACACGTATTGGCCTGTTGGCTTAATCATATGAACTCTATGGTTAAACGTGCTTTACTTAGAGCACGTGTTGGTCTTTTGGCTCAACCATATGAACTTTATGGTTAAGCATGTTTTAAGAGTAATTATATGTTGGGTGACCTCCTAGAAATTTTTCTACGAGGCATGTAAGTGAAAACAAAATATGCTGTGGGGATCTTACTAAGTAAGTAACGGGACCATATAGAAATTTTCCTAGGATGCAGGTAAGTGAAAACAAAATATGTAGTGGGGATCTTACTAAGTAACGAGACCATATTGAAGGAAAATATCGGAGTCATCAACCATATTAACCTATTTAACGCTAAATTAAAAAATTTAATAAATAAATATTTTACAAAAACTAAATTAAGCTGGTAATTTCATGGGAAATTAACCATAACTTTGGGAACAATATGTAAATAAATACACTTAAAAACAAAACTCCAAAATTTATTCTTCCCAAAAAGGAAAAAAAAAAACACATATATTCAAACAAAAATTGGATTTTCTCTCTCATCATCACTCACGTGACACCCTTTTGCCTCTAGAGTGAGAAAGAAGCACCAAAAAAAAAAAAAAAAAAGGTTTTGCTCTGTTCCTTGGAGAGGGAAACAAGCAGCATCTTTGTAGAGAAGAACAGAGAAACCAGAATTCTCCAAAACCAAAACCCATTTTCTTCTGTGTGTGTGTGTGTGTGCGCGCGCGCGCAGAAGCTGCTACAGCTCCCCTGTGTCACTATCACCTTCCAAACCCTTCTCTATTTCAAACCAGGGAAGAACAGAGAACTTTTCTTAAAGCAAAGGGCATCTTGAATCAGCCGTTTCTGTGAAAACCCATCATTCCTATTACTCAAATGCAGCAGCACCTGATGCAGATGCAGCCCATGATGGCTGCCTATTATCCTAACAACGTCACTACTGATCACATTCAACAGGTTCTTCTTCTTCTTCTTCCTTTTTTATTTCTGTCTTTCAATCCATTTATCTTATTAATCCAACCCCATTTCCTGTTTTTCTTTCATTTCCCTCTTTCTCTCAACTGGGTTTTCTTTGTTTTTCACTTATGGATGCGTTTCTTCTTTTTAATATTGGGTTTGTTTAGTTTGCTTTCTTTGCTTTCTTTCTTTCACGTGCCTTTGTCTCTACTGGATTATCTAATTACACGAGCTGAGACTAACCCATCTATGGCTTTCTTGTTTATTTCCATCTCTTTTCTTGATATTTAAGGGCTTGTTTCCTTGTTGGTCTAAAGTTAATCACTCTGTTTTTTGAAATTGCATGATTCACTTCTGCCTTTTGGCCTTAATCTTAATGGAAAAGGAAGCTGAACTTGTTGGATGGTGGCTTCTTTATGCTTTTTTGCCCCTCCCTAGCAATCAGGTGGAGCAAAAGTGGCTTGTTGGGATAGGACATTTAAGAGCTTGAGGTTGATTTAGATGCTTGAAACCTCCCTCATATGAAACCGTTCAGAGCTTTGTTGAGGATTGTTGGGAGGGAGTCTACATTGGTTAATTTAGAGATTGATCGGAAGGTATATATCTCCATTGGTACGAGGCCTTTTGGGGAAGCCCAAAGCAAAGCCATGAGAGCTTATGCTCAAAGTGGATAATATCATACCATTGTGGAGAGTCGTTATTCCTAACATGGTATCAGAGTCATGCCCTTGACTTAGTCATGTCAATAGGATCCTCAAATGTCGAACATAAGAAGTTGTGAAACTCGAAAGTGTAGTCAAAAGTGACTCAAGTGTCGAACAAAGGGTGTACTTTGTTCGAGGACTCCAGAGAAGGGGTCGAGCCTCGATTAAAGGGAGACTGTTCGAGGGCTCCATAAGCCTTTGGGGAGGATCTATAGTGTACGTTGTTTGAGGGGAGGATTGTTGAGGATTGTTGGGAAAGAGTCCCGCATTGGCTAATTTAGGGAATGATCCTGAGTTTATAGGTAAGGAATACATCTCTATTGGTAGAGGCCTTTTGGGGAAGCCCAAAGCAAAGCCACGAGAGCTTATGCTCAAAGTGGACAATATCATATTATTGTAGAAAGTCGTTATTCCTAACAAGCTTGAGCTCTTTGAGGACTATAAGTTTATCACTTCTGATCAAACCTAATAATCGATTGTCGTTCTAGAGAACCAAACATTATAGGATGGAGGAGTTGTCATATGAGATTAGTCGAGGTACGTGTAAGTTGGCTGATAAGCATCATAACCCACCTTATATTCTTCATCCAGCACTATACTTCTTAAATTTTTCATCCCGTTTTTTACTTGATATGTTCGTAATTTTCGAACTTCTTATTTGATAATCTATGATGCAGTATCTGGATGAGAACAAGTCACTGATATTGAAGATTGTTGAGAGCCAAAACTCTGGAAAACTGAATGAATGTGCAGAGTAAGAATTTATGCCTTTTCTAATGATTCCACATATCATCTGTTTTTCTATGGAAGTGACTATTTTCCCTTGCATTCGTTCGTAAATTATGCTCTCTCGTGCTCCGTACATATCGTAGCTCTCTCTCTTAGTTAACTGTATAATTCGGCTTATATCTGTATTGTGGCTATGACTATAAACGAAACATTCCTTATAAGGGTATGAAAACCTCTCACTAGTAGACACGTTTTAAAACTGTGAAACTGATGGCCATACGTAACGGGCTAAAGCGGACAATATCTACTCACGGTGAGCCACCGTGATTGGGCTGTTAAAAGTATATTTCAGGATTGTTTTATTACATTGCATCACTCTTTAAATAGCTGTCATAATGTGAGTTATCTCTCTGATTGATCATTTTTGGATTGATTCTGATTCATGATTATCATAGTTCTTCTGGAGTGAGTAACAATGTTAATGGATGAAAATGGATTGATATCTAATTGTTCGCCTATTCAGTTGTCTTGTACTTTTAGACGTGATATCGTGACACGATTATTAGTTTGAACTAGATTCAATTATTATGAGATTGTTCGCCTATTCAGTTGTCTTGTACTTTTAGACGTGATATCGTGACACGATTATTAGTTTGAACTAGATTCAATTATTATGAGATTGAGGATGACTGTAACAGCCAAAACCCACTGTTAGTAGATATTGTCCACTTTGACCCATTATGTATCACCATCAGCTTCACGTTTTTAAAACACGTCCGATAGGGAGAGGTTTTCACTCTCTTATAAGGGATGCTTCATTCCCCCTTCCAACCGATGTGGGATCTCACAATCCACCCCCCTTGGGGGCTTAGCGTCCTCACTAGCACACCGCCCAGTGTCTGGCTCTGATACCATTTGTAACAGCCTAAACCCACCGCTAGCCGACATTGTCCACTTTGGCTCATTACATATTGCCGTTAGCTTCACGATTTTAAAACACGTCGTTAGGGAGAGGTTTTCACTCTCTTGTAACAAATGACAATATATGCCAATGGTGAATTTGGGTTGTTACAATGACGGTTTCGATGCGCAAAAGTAACTCTCTTATGTTCTTTCTCTGCAGGAATCAAGCAAGGCTACAGAGGAACCTCATGTACTTGGCTGCCATTGCTGATTCTCAACCACAACCAACTGCCATGCATGCCCAGGTATGGACCTAACTGTTTCAGGACGTAAATTTATCCGATCACTAGCTGTGTATTGTTAGAACACCTCGTAATTTCGCTTTCAATAGAACTCTCTACCATAACAACCATTTCCATTACCACCATTGTTCTACAATGCTCTATACAAAACCCGAGTTCTTCAAGGATTTAGATATAGATTTAGGTGCTTAATCCAAGACGTTTTGGTTTTGCCATATTCTCTCCAGTACTCTTCCAGTGGCATAATCCAACCAGGAGGACATTACATTCAGCACCAACAAGCTCAGCAGATGACGCCGCAATCACTGATGGCTGCTCGGTCGTCCATGTTGTACACCCAGCAGCCATATTCAACGCTGCAGCAGCAACAAGCTTTGCATAGCCAACTCGGGATGAGCTCGGGAGGAGGCATAGGATTCAACATGCTGCAAAACGACGCAGCCAATGCAGGAGGAGGCAACGGAGGAGGACTTGGAGGAGGAGGAGGAGGAGGAGGAGGCTTTCCAGACTTTGGCCACGGCGGTAGCCTAGGCGGTGGGAGCAAGCAAGAAATGGGAGGCACGGGGTCGGGGGAGGGACGAGGAGGGAGCTCCGGGAGCCATGGCGGTGACGGAGGTGAGACGCTGTACTTGAAATCAGCTGATGATGGGAACTGAAAGCATGGATGAAAAGTAGGTAGAATAGAAGTTAGGAAGATAAAAGAAGAGAAGAAACCTTCTTGCTTTTAGCTTTATGTGTAAACAATGGTGTGAGGATTCAAACCTCATAAAACTTAAAACTTCGGTATCCTCTTCTTACAATATTCTCACAAATGTTTTTAAAATTATATTTAAATTTCAAAATTTTTAAAAGGTAACCTTATAAATTTGAATTCATAAATCTTATATAAAGTTTGATTTAAAAATAACTTAGAAATATAAATAATATATTTAATACCTTTTAAGAAAATAAATCTTATAGCATACACAGACCGGACTCGAGTGAGAACGAGATAAGATATTTATTGTTATATGCCTAATTTTTTTATCTCATTCACATTAGTTGAACTAAAAAAAGAGTTCAAAAGATTCAAACAAACTCGGGTGGTCAAAAAGTGAGGATGTAGTTCATAATCTATGAAAATTATCTTTATATGATCAAAATTTTATTTATTTATTATTATGTGCCTAATTTGTCCCGTTCAAATTCGTTCAACTAAAAAATCAATCAACAACGATTCAAACAAACTCGAGGTCAAAAAGGAAGAATGTGGTTCGTAATCAACAACTCCCTTTTGTGAAACTTCTAAGTTCCCGCCATTCATATTCACCCGTTCTTTTATTTTTTAATTAATGACCTTTTTGCCCCTTAAATAATATATTTTAATCATTTGAACCTCAAATAAATACATCTTAACCATTTAAGTTTCAATATTAGGAAAATACAGAAATTAAGAATAAAGTATATTAATAATTTTTTTTTGGCCAAAAAATAATTGTATTCAGGTAATTGAACAACACAGGATGGTCAATTTTGGCCAATCCAATTACATTATCACTCTTGTTAGACGCAAGACGAACACACTTTGAGCATAAGCTCTTATGGCTTTGCTTTGGGTTCCCAAAAAGCCTCTTAGGATCGACTAACCCATGTGCAAGTGCCGTTCACATGGAACCTTTCCCCTCTTCGGCCTTCAAAGTTCTCATTTGAATATTTGCTACTACCACCAAGATCTGCACCGATGGCCGCTCCGCTCGGGCTCACGCCCAAGGTTTTGCAGCGACCACTACGCCCTCCTACTCATCGGGGCCTAGCACTTGCCCCGACAGCCGGGTATAGGTCACGCGCTTCAGCGCCATCCATTTTCGGGGCTAGTTGATTCGGCACTCATTTTTCAAAAAGGAATTAAATAAATTATATATAAAAAATAAAAATAAAAATTGTATGAAGAACACTTTACACAAACTTCTACATTGATTCAAGGCCTCAAGGAAGGATCTTTCTTCTGGGTTTTGTTAGCCATGGAAGCCGCTGCAAACCCATCAGCATTCAGCCCAGATAAGGCGGAGGAGCCACCGTGGACAGCGGCGGCACCGTCGTCCGCCTCGCTCAACGTACATCGGCCACGGCTGAACCCCGGAATAAACGAACAGGGATTCCTACTGGAACTAGGCACGGCACCTCGCAGCATCGCCATGGGCACCCTCTGTACCGGAAGCCACCGCTCTCCGGTCATGACCCTCGCCGCCGACATGTGGAAAACACAGAGAAAAATGAAAAGAAACGCCGCCGTGTTCATAACAGAAAAACCCATTTGAGAGAAGAAGAGATTGGTTTGATGAGAATTGAAAGGGAAGATTTTGAAGTGTATATATAGAAGAGATTTCAAGAGTTGACTGAGACAAGCCGCGGCCCGCGGAAAGTTTGAATATCAAAGGGAATCAAGAAGGATTCAACGCCCAACTTAGTCATGTATGATCATATATATATAAATATATATAAACTTTATAATGGCTATGGGATTTGGGTTTGGATTTTGGTTTTACACACATACACATTGGATTGGAATTTGCCCTTTTACTTCTCTTCCTACTTTTAAAAATTGAAAAGGGTGTCTAGTTATAGCTAGCGATCTTTTGATCAAGTAGATATCGAGTCATTTGCTTTTAATATACATTTAGATAAGTGGGTTCTATAAAAAATGTGTGACGCCCGAGTAAAAAGGAGGAACATGAATGAACTGAGATCACATTCGAAAAATTTACTACTAATACGAATAAGTTGTATATTTCTGAGAAATATAAAGTCAAATGTGCTTTTCTTGAAAGCTTCCATTTGGGTGAATCCTAGGAAATTCCTAGGAAACATGTGAGAAAGAACAAAACATGTTAGATTGGATTGTTGTCTCACTCTAAGTAACAAGTAGGTAACGTGATTGTGTCGTATAAGAAAGCTGGAGCAATGAGCCATTATACATGTGTGGACTTTTTAAAATCGTGATAATTGACTTGATATCTCGTTTTTACATCATTTGTCAGATCCCGTATCAATTAGAGAGAGGGGAACATAGTATTCCTTATAAGGGCGTGAAAATTTCTCTCTAGTAGACATGTTTTAAAATCGTGAGGTTGACGAGGATATACAACAGGCCAAAACGGACAATATCTACTAGTCAGTGGGCTTGGACTATTACATCACATGTAACTTAGATGCGTTATTGAATATTCTAAGCTATGTTTGGGAATAAAACTTGTCTCTACGAATCAACACTGACTTTGTTCTTTCTCACATTCTTCTTCTTAAAAAAACATATCGCGTAAGTTTTTTGTATGCTCAATTTTCTATATGTCTAATAGAGTTATAAATTTTCTATTTTCGAGTCGGTTAAGAAACCATTTAACACAAAATTGAGAGTTTAAGCGTGATTTATTTAAATTTCATGGATCTACTAGATACAAAATTAAAAGTTCAACGTAAAAATTTAGAGACCAAACGCGTAATATATCTAAAATTTAAATAGGTTATAATATGGTCAAAGATTAACCAGAAATTCTCTCATAGAATTTGTAAAGTCAACGAGTGTTGGTGATGAATCTCAATACCATTTGTTGGTTTTAATATTATTCAACCTTAAAATGAGCACTTTGTTGACAAACTTTTATTCAACTCTTTCTACGATTATTACAATTAGGTTTGTTTGACCCTTTGATCTCATGAAATTGTATTCTCAAATTAGGGTTTGACTTTTTTTTTTTTTTTTTTTTTTTTTTTTTTTTTTTTTTTTTTTTTTTTTTTTTTTTTTTTTTTTTTTTTTTTTTTTTTTTTTTTTTTTTTTTTTTTTTTTTTTTTTTTTTTTTTTTTTTTTTTTTTTTTTTTTTTTTTTTTTTTTTTTTTTTTTTTTTTTTTTTTTTTTTTTTTTTTTTTTTTTTTTTTTTTTTTTTTTTTTTTTTTTTTTTTTTTTTTTTTTTTTTTTTTTTTTTTTTTTTTTTTTTTTTTTTTTTTTTTTTTTTTTTTTTTTTTTTTTTTTTTTTTTTTTTTTTTTTTTTTTTTTTTTTTTTTTTTTTTTTTTTTTTTTTTTTTTTTTTTTTTTTTTTTTTTTTTTTTTTTTTTTTTTTTTTTTTTTTTTTTTTTTTTTTTTTTTTTTTTTTTTTTTTTTTTTTTTTTTTTTTTTTTTTTTTTTTTTTTTTTTTTTTTTTTTTTTTTTTTTTTTGTTGATATTAAAAAAGTTTCAAAATTTTACTTATCGCTAATAGGTTCCTCTTAGATTATCGATTTTATGTTTAATAGGTCATTAAACTTTTAAAAAATGTTGAGTAAGTTTAATTTTGTGTCTAATAAATAACATGTATAATAAATTTATTAATTTTAAATAACGATGAATACATCAAAAAATTATTAAATATAATTTTTTTTTAGGTGTGAGAATGTAAAATTAAAATTTATTAAATATAGAAGTTTTTTTAAAAAATTTCAAATAGATTCATCTTATCATGCTAACGACCCATACCCACTAATCTTCGAGATGCTTCGAGCATGCAAAACCAAGATATAATAAGGATTTTTAACTTAAGTTTTCTATACGTGACTCAAACTCGAGATTGTGAAGAATATCCTCAAACATCCTACACTATATATGGTAACAGCACAAGCCCACCACTAAGAGGTAGTGTCCTCTTTGAGCTATCATTTTCGGACTTCTCCTCAAAGTTTCTAAAACGTTCCCCTCTCCAACATATATGGGATTTCACAATCTATACCCCCTTTCGGTTCTCTTCTCCAATCGATGTGGAATTTCACAATCTACCTCCTTTTGATGTGGGACCTCAGATAGCACTTGTTCCTCTCTCCAATCGACGTAGGATCTCACAATTCACTTCCTTTGAGGTCCAGTGTCCTTGCTGACACTAGTACAATCCACCTCCTTTCGATATGGGATCTCAGCTAGCACTTGTTCCTCTCTCCAATCGACGTGGGGATCTCACAATCCACTTCCTTCGAGGCCCAGTGTCCTCGCTAACACTAGTTCCTCTCTCTGATCGATGTGGGATCTCAGCTGGTACTCGTTCTTCTCTCCAATCGACATGGAATCTCACAAATCACCCTAGTCTTGCACAAACACTCCTAGAAAGTTGCAGAACAGAGAAAGAGAGAAAGCAAAAAGGCTTTTCATTAATCATAGGGATCATCAACCAATACAATGATCACAGTGACTGTTACAAATATTCACACTGTAACAAATCACTCAATTCACTCCAAAAAAATGGGAAACAAAAAGAAGAACTGCAAAAGAGAAGAAAGAAGATCAACAACAAACTAATAAACAACTCAACTCATCAATTCAAACCACAAACCACAAACCAAGGAATGAACTTTCCTATATATATATCAAAATTATTGGTATTGGTAAGAGTTAAAATAATCCTAAACAATCCTTTATATTCTTCATATCTTTCGAGAAAACAAGCTATTGGAACTGTACAGTTTTCTCAAATCTAACCTTGCTTGGTCGACGTTGACGTCGCCCTCGTCCCCCCTGGATGTAACACAACCTTTTGTCAATATCAAAACGACACGGTACAAACAACGAGCATATAATCTTTTAAAACCATTTTGGGATGGTAAAACTCACTTACTTCTTAATGGTTGGCTTCTTTGAACCATATCACCAGGCCATCCATCAACTTCTTAACCCGATTTTTCGGAGTTCTTGTAAAAGGGAAGCGATCTCTCGAACAAACTGAAGCCCCTCCTCTCCCCTTATGAGTGAATTGATCGTATGCTCAAGAATGTTCTTGTCGGCTTCGAGCACTTCCATCCTTTTGTTAAGCTTCGACACCTCGTTTTTTAGAAACGCGAAATCTTCCCTTTCGGTATTCGACGACGAATTCCTATCACTACGATCGAGTTCGTTACTTTCTTTATCAAATGGAGGATTTGCAAGTGAGGGAAGACAATCGTCATTGTCATTGTCATTGTCATCGTCTTTGGCATGATCTTCACCATTTTCAAGTTTAAGATCATCTGTCCCAAGATATTCACCATTGCTAAGATCCATCTTGACCCCATTGATTGAAAACAAATGGATCATATTCTCCAACTTCTTAAGGCATTGCAAGATGTTTATCTTTTCGTCCTCGAACTCTGACAATAAATTGTTAAACGTACCGCCTTCGCTTCCAACTTTCTCGTGGATATCGGGTTTACCTACAACCAGATTTCCATAACCAATCGTTCCGATCTGATTCGACTCTAAATGAACGACCCCGATATCTCTTTCCTTCACAGACATCTCGATTAGATTATCTATTGTATATGCATTAGGAAAATTAATCCGAAAAAATTCGAGTTCTGCTTCGAGATCTTGTATCTCCTTGTCCTTCTCTGTAATGAGATCATTCGCCTTCTGTAAGGCATCATCATCATACTCGCTTTGTTCTTCCATCATCCTTAAACACTGCAATGCCTCCATGTGAAGATTAGCCTTCTCCTCTTGTAGTCTAGTAATCATAGCCATTGCTTGATTTGCAGCAATTGCAGATGCATTTCTTTCTTCCTCCAATTCCTTGTATAATGAAATCATAAGCTTCTTATCATACTCGACCTGTCGTTTCAACCGATCAACCACGTTTTCGCCTTCGATTTCACTCACAATGCTTCCATCTAGAGAGTCTAAGCTCGACTCGTTTCTTTCAAGTGTTATCCTTTTTTGTGGTATCTGCATCCCAATGACGTTTGAGACATCATCCCCATTTATGGACAACCTTGGACTCATTTCCCGTGATTGGTCGTTCGTCCGATTAAACGAGAGTTGTGTCATGAGAAGCTTCAGATCGTCGCTAACTTTTGACGAATCCTTCTCAATCCATTGTTCCGAAAGCTTACCAGACAATTGTCTTCCTGCTCTAGCACCTACAGCTATCTTATAAGCATCACCAAGCTCCAATGTATTGGGTGCCATCTGAGCAGCGTCACTCGAAACAGGTTGAGTTTCGGTATCTTCTTCAGACGTTGCTTTTGTTGGCGATATTTCCGCTTTCTCCGTTCCCCTGCTTTTCGTTTCGTGTTCTTCACTTCTAGTAACATCTACAATGATCAAAAACACATACATTAGTGATAATCACAAAGAACTTCATTTGGTTGCATTGGCCTAAACTCGTTAAGCAAAGCTTAACGAGACGGATTGGATGCAGCCTATACTCGTTTTCGTAAACTTTGCATAATATGCATTACATAGCAATAAAGATCATATATCATCAATTTGCATCAGTGATATTGCCTAGTTATCCCGAGTCCATGCGAGTTCATGAAGCAAGCGAAATTCTAGAACTAGAACTAAGAGGGTAAAGAACTCACAGCTTTCTTCTACAGCTTCAACAGAAGTTACTATAGTGTTTGAAGAAGGAACCATATTGTCAAGAGAAAGGAGATCATTTGGTGAAGAGAAACCGTCATTAGCTTCGACGTGCTTTGGAGTCAATTCATCCAAACCGTGCCCGATCGAGACACCACGTTCTACACGAGGCAGTGCATCGTCGCCTAATACAACCGATGGTTCAGGTGCCAAAGCTGGCTCGTCTAACGTCGTCAAGGTTATATTACTAGCCAGAGAAATGAAGTTAACCTCCATATTATCATCTTGAAGGGCGAAATCATCCTTAGAATTGGCTGTTTCAACCACCAAAGTGCCTCCATTTCCATCAGATTCTGTGTCTGAAGTAATATTCAGCTCTTTGTATTGAACATGAGGTAAAGGATTGCTTGGAGGCCCTTGGATATCTACCTTACAAGGAACAATCGAACTCGACAAGGGAACATCGAGATCCTCGGCTTTCAATTCGCTCGATCTGGTCTGGATTAACGTTTGAACAAACCCTCTTGGAACGCATGGCTCCTCACAACACGACTCTTGGATATCTACCTTACAAGGAACAATAGAACTTGACAAGGGAACATCGAGATCCTCAGCCTTCAATTCACTCGATCTGGTCTGTATTAACGTTTGAACAAACCCTCTTGGGACGTATGACTCCTCACAACACGACCCTTGGGTATCTACCTTACAAGGAACAATCGAACTCGACAAGGGAACATTGAGATCCTCAGCCTTCAATCCGCTCGATCTGGTCTGTATTAACGTTTGAACAAACCCTCTTGGGACGTACGACTCCTCACAACACGAACAATGTTTTTGATCCCCAAGCAAAGGGTCACTGTCAATACCAAAATGAGGATCCTCCCCCAGCTTACCAACCAATAATCTGTAAGTCTCAGAATTCAACTTATTGATCGTTGCAAATGAAAAGAGGCAGTTTTCACACACGTCATGAACATTCACAAGCTTGTTATGAGCGTGACAAAGAACCAAAGATGAAACCTCCAACTTATGTTTGCCACAAATCAATGTCCAAAGGTAACCTTTTTTCTGAGAGCCGAAAACATGATCGAGTCTCGAACATAGCAAGCACGGAGTGCGCAGTTTCCATAAACGAGCACATTTTGTGATAAAAAATGAGAATATGGAGTGCAAAAACAGCATACAAATCAGTAGGCATTCAGAAACAGCGGATAACAAATAAGTTCTAAGACTTCCTCCAGTACAAGCTTCAACAGATAAAGTTCCCATTACAGCCAATGTCCCAACAAAACCAAGCTCATAGGATAAATTAATCCTCCAAAGTAGTCCAAAATGAAACTCAATCAAGCATCAACTGTGGGAAAACACAGAATTGTTAACAAAAAGTGCATAAAAAGAGAGAAAAACATCAAGATTATGAAGAAAACAACCCTCCTCTCATAAACACATTGAATCAGAGGCAGATTGGTCAAAAGTTCAAAGAATTAGAAGAACCAACCAAATGGAAAAGCTATTAAATCCTGATATGAGATCAACCAATGAAGTCAACCCAATTCATAAATTCACAAATCATTCAACTCATACAGAAATTTCAGCCCAGACCCACTTCAGATTAGAGATAATCCGATCAAAAAGCAGCATCAAACAAATTATGAAACGAAAATCCACCAGATCAAAAAGCAGAGCCAAAATCAAGAAAGGAACACATAAAAACAGAACATAAGAACTCAACGATCAGAATCCCCATGAGCATAGCAGAATCATGAACAAAAACAAGAGAATCAGATTGACAGAACGAAAATTACCGATAAGAATTTCAATAAATGGAGAGATGCAAAGATGATGGGGATCCCAATAGAGAGAAGAAAGTAAAGAACAAAACCCAGAAACAGTTTATTTGTATAATCTGATTAAAAACAAAAGGCCCACCAAAAAGGTTGAACAATCCAACCAATCGGGGACGCAATAATTTACATTTTATTTTTGGGATTAAGAAAATGGAAGAGAGGGAAGGGGAAAGAAGTTGGAAATGGAAATGCACGCCGACCAGCCCAAAAAGTCGGCTGCAGATTAAAAGGGGAAAAACAAAAAAAACGACGTCGATGGACCAAAACTTAATCCCACAGAGAAATGAAAAAGAAAAAGACAAAGAAAAATACATTTTAAAATTTCTAGGAAGAACAGCAGAGAGAATCGTTGAAATTTTAGCCGCAGTTATTTTACGGGTTTCTTTTCTTCTCTCTGTTCTTCAATCTCCCCTCTCCCTTTCCTCTCCGTCAGTTTTTTACTCCTCTTCTTTTCTATCTTCTAAACATTTGTAATTTTGCAATTTCGCCCTTTTTTTCAATAATTAATTTGTAAAATTTTTAATAAATATTTCAATTTACTTCTCATGATTTCACCTATAATAATTTTTTTTCTTGTTCCTTTATAAATGCGTGTAAATCTCTCTCTCCACAGATGTGTTTTAAAATTATAAGATTGACGGCAATACATAATGAGCTAAAGCAGACAATGTCTATTCGGACTTAAACTGTTATATCTTCTTACAATAAAACTAGGCTATTTTCTCAAGAAAAATCACATAAATTGATGGATAATAATATTTTACGTAAGTTTACTCCCTACTCCTCTCGCGTTGAATTAAAAAAAATGTTTTAATCAATTTACAGACACATTTAATTTAAAAGTCAATTTAAATATAGTTAAAACCAAAAAATAAAATATAAATAATATAATAGCGACGTTCACGTCACCGTCCAATGAGCGTAAAGGTTTAGTTGTAAAGAGAATAGGGATTTGTTTGGGTTAGAAGTTGCAGCCAATGAGAACGTCGGTGGGAATTAGTAAAGTGAAAAGCGGGTAAGTTAAGAATTGGAATTCAAACGTGGGCAGTCGTGGCCGCCCAGTCCCCTGGCTGCCCTAATGAGTTGACCGTTGAAAATGACTTTTTAAATCTTTTTTTAATGCCTCAATAATATAATTCCTTTTACAGATTTTATCATTTTTTTTTTGTTTAATTAATTAAGAAATGCTACTTCACAAATAACAAAATAAATTATTTTTTTATAAATCAATTAAGATTAAAAAACTATATGGTAACTCCTCATTTTGTGTAAATATTATATTATAACAAGATAGAGATGTTCTAAGGGATTGGTTGATGGACAAACTGAGTAAGAATAGGACATTCCATAAAAATCTTTTAGATCCTCCCATAGGTGTTCTTAACGTCCACAAAGATGTAGATTAGTTAGGGTAATTGAGATTTTAAGTACGAGGGCTCTAACTCGAAGAGCTCTATCGAATCACGTCAAGAAGTACATAAATATTGTAGTTTTTTAAATTTCGGGAAATGAGTATGGGACGAGAAGGAGGCCCTGAGGCTAGGAAAGTCAACTCGAGTGTCAAGAGTTAGAGCTAAAAAGGTCTATAAAGTAGGTTATTATTGTTTGGCATAGGACCCTACCCATAAGCTTAAATGACACATGCCAAGGCCATAAGACATGGGACACGTGTCATCATACATAAATCAATTCTTTCAACTAAGCCAAAATGGAGCCATTTATTTAGTTAGTCTGAGCTAAAGTTACTAATTTATACTTGGGCTAGTCGTAACACTATTTCTTGGAATCCAAATTTCTAAAAAAACTCAAAACATTTCCTTTAAAATAAGATCTAAATTTCACAAACGGTATATTTTCTTTTATTTATTTATTTTCATTATAATTTGGGCTATTACAAGATCGCTCTCATATACTCTCGGTTTATTCATGTACCCGGTCTCATATACACTCGTCAAGGAAAATAAGTAAACCAGTTGACTGCCAAAACCCCTAAGAAAAACACAGGTGAAATAAAGGAAATACAAGGCAGAAACCGAGCCTGACCTCCGAGCTTCGAGTGTTCATCCATAGCTACACTCGTCCCCATCATGAATGCAAACACCATAAACCACAGAGACAGCCCTGTTAGGAATGTCACCCATTTTCTCGGGTAAGTGAACCCGGAATCGACCCCGAACAACCCCGTAAAGAACGTAACGAACATCGATGCCGCCGCAAACCCAAAAGATAAAGCATCAAATGTCATATATAATCTAAATTGTTTTGCCCTTCGTAGTGTCGCTATACCGTTGTTGTTGTATCCGCCGGGAACCTGAAACGCTGCACTGAAGGTTACCGTGGCGATAATCGTGGCCACGACAAGATTGGCGTCGGACACTTCGCTCCATATATGAGATTTCTTCTGCTGTCTACTGGGTTTGTCAATGTTGGCTCCACTGGTTTCTTGTTCTGTGGCATTTGGTTTTGGTTCGCCTGCTTCAAGCAACAAATTGGTTCTGGGTTTCCTGTCTAGCACTTGTTGCATGCCTCGTACAGCTCCATTGAACTCCAAGCGTGCTACGCTGAAAGACTGCAGGCATGTTTTAGAGAAAGTGTTTCGTGGAATTGAAAGTATCATCTTCGTTTAAATAGAATATAAGTTATTAATTGTAATGATCCAAGTCCACCCCATTTTCTTTGGACTTTCTATCTAGAGCTTCCCCTAAATGTTTTTAAAACCAGTCTGGTATGGAGAAGTTTTCATACCCTTACAAAGGGTGTTTCGTTCTCCTCTCACCCCCTTCGCGCCAGCATCCTTGCTGGTACTTGTTCATTTCTCCAATCAAGGTGGGAACCCCACCAAATCCACCCCCGGGCTCATTCCTTTCTACAATCGATGTGGGACTTCCACCAAATCTACCCCTTCAGAACTTGTTCTTTTGTCTAATCGATGTGGGACCATCCCCTTCAGGACTCATTCCTTTTTTCAATCGATGTGAGACTCCACCAAATCAACTCTCTTTAGAACTCATTTCTTTCTCCAATCGACAAATCCACTCCTTTGGGGCCTAGTGTTCTTGCTGGCACATCGCCTTATGTCCACCCTCCTTCAGGACTCAACCTCCTCACTAGGACATCGTCCATTTGTAACAGCCCAAACCCTGATACCATTTCTAACGGCCCAAACCCTAATACCATTTGTCACCTCAAACCCTGATACCATTTCTAACAGCCCAAACCCGCCACTAGCAAATATTGTTTCTTTAGGGTGTTCTTTTCGGACTTCTCCTCAATGTTTTTAAAACTCGTCTATAGGGAGAGGTTTTCACACCCTTAAAATGAGTGATTCGTTCTCCTCTCCAACTGATGGGAATGTCATAGTTATACAACAAAATATATTTCATAAATATCTTTCCTTGTGAGGGTCAAACATGAATTTAAATCGTACCTTTTGATACCAGCTAAAGTTGAGACTGGATCGAACAATGTCATTGGTAGTGAAACCAGCCTTGTTCATAATCTTCTTATGAACTCTCGGATGGGAAGCTAACATCATAAGTGTAACAAAGTCACCAGAAATGGCAGCAACATGCAAGGGTGTGTTGCCATCAATGTCCTGTTGGTTTACAAGGTTCCGAAAGCTTGCCAAATCCAACATCTTTCGAACCGCGTAGGCCTGTCGGTTGGCGACAGCGAAATGAAGAGCTGTTCTGTCTCTCGAATCCGATAGCTCGCAGCTGTCGGGACAGAGCTTCGCGAAGGTTTTGAGGACGGCAACGCGGCCTTCTTTACCTGCTAAATGCAGGGCCGACACGCCATTGTTGACTTTTGTGTAAGCTAAGGATGGTTCGTGTTTTAGTATTAGTTCCACCACTTCCTCGGACCCGAGGTTGGCTGCATAGTGAAGAGGCAGCCATCCGTGACTGTCTGGTTCTATTAGAATGTTTGGGAACTTGTTCAACAGCTCTTGAATAAGATCTGTAAATGTGAAAAAGGGTAAGAAGAAAGGATTGATTCGAATCTCTCATTTTGATTTTTTTTTAATGGAGAGAACCATGAATCGGGACCCTAATGCTTTATAGGTTTTAAATCGTAAGAGTGTTTCGTTCTCCTCACAATCCACTCCCTTCAGGGTCGAGCGTCTTTGTTGGCACTCTTTCATCTCTCCAATCGATGTGGGACTCTCACCAAATCCACCCCCTTCGAGGACGGATCCCCACAAGATCCACCCCCCTTCGAGGCCCAGCGTCTTTACTGGCACATCGCCCGGTGTCTGGTTCTGATACTATTGTAACAGCTCAAGCCCACCGCTAGTCGATATTATCCTCTTTGGGCTTTCCCTTTTCGGCTCCCCCTCAGCCCTTTAAAACACATCGTCTAGGGAACGGTTTTCACACACTTATAAAAGTACTTCGTTCTCCTCACAATCCACCTTCAGGGCCGAGTGTCTTTGCTGGCACTCGTTCATTTCTCCAATCGATGTGGGACTCCCACCAAATCCACCCCCTTCGGGGACAGACCCCCACAAAATCTACCCCCTTTGAGGCCCAGCGTCTTTATTGGCACACCGCCTTGTGTCTACTCCCTTTGGGGAATAGTCTCCTCATTAGCACATCACCCGGTGTCTAGTTCTGATACCATTGTAACAGTTAAGCCCACCGCTAGCAGATATTGTCCTTTTTGGACTTTCCCTCAATGCTTTAAAAACACTCGGCCTAGGGAAAGATTTTTACACCCTTATAAGGGTATTTCGTTCTCCTCCTCATCTAATGTGAGATTGTGGGATCTCACAGAAATAATATTTGTTCCATTATATATTAATCAATATTTGATTGATTAGTCGGAGGTTATCTATAAAAAAAGATTTTTCTTTGTTTAACTCACTTCTTTCATTCAATCTTGCTGACTTCATTTAGTTTTTAGTTATTTATTCTAATTCTCATTTTTTTTAGAGAAATATTTGAAATCGGATTAAAGAAAAAATAAATCAAACAAGTTTTTAAAATTTTCAAATATTTTTTGAAGTAAATAACAAACAAAGAAATTCATGAGTGAAAATAGTGTTTTAAAGCAAAAAGAAAAAGCAAATATAAAATACCTTTTCGACCCGGATCTAGTTTATATGTGATTTTTCTTTCGCAATACGGCAGCTCCATCAGTTTTGGGAGAAACTGGTTCGCATACAAGATTGGAAGAGCCAAATACACTCGAAATGGTGTCTCAATTAAACTCCGTGTATAACCTGTTAATCTCTAAATTTTTAAAAGTATCTAATAAATTTAATCAC